GAAATATAACAAAGATAAAAAGCATATGTCTTGCAGACATCCAATATGTCTTTAAGAATATCGTTACAAAAAATTACTAAGCTTCAAAACATATTTTCGGCGATATAAATTTACCTATTGTCACTTGGGAGACAATATGTTCTTAAAACTCTAGTACAATTGTTAACCATAAACTAAAGGGAAAAAACCCAAAGATGTCATAAAAAATTGTCTTTCAATTTTCAAGAAAACCCTCTTTGGAGGTAAAGTAATAAAAACCCATCTGTTGACCAAAGCGCATTTTATCCTTTTTCTCATGGTAAAATCACGTATTTGGAAATTCCAGATTTCATACTTTTTATATATATTATAAGGATAAATATGCATTTTATATAAAAACGAATATATATATATATATATATATGGGACGTTCCACGTCAACAAGGACAGGCTTCTGCCCAAAAATGGTTTTGACGGATTTCAATGTTCTAGGGATTAAAAAATTCGTAAATTTCTATACTTTCGAATGCCGAGTGGCGTTTTTCAAAATTTTAAATGGCGGCTCCATTATGGCGCATAAATGGCAGTAAGTTTGAAAATTTAAAAATAAATTTGTGAATTAAACGTCTTAAAGAATTCCATTCAATCTAAAACACCTCATACAACAGTTTTTGGGGTCACTGAATGCAAATATAATGTTAGTTTTCCAAAATTCAAAATGGCGAATTCAAAATGGCGGTAAAAATTTTTAAAATTGATCAAAATGGCTTAAAACTTATTTCTCAGGGGTTTTTTGGGTCACTTATTATGAATTTGAAGTTATTTTTAATAAATAAGCAAAAATAAAATAAATTTTAAAATGGTGGATCCAAAATGGCGGACAAATTTTTTTAAAAACGCTCGAAATTAATTGAAACTCTATTCTAGAGGGTTTTCTTGGCCGCTAATTACGAATTTAAAGTTATTTTTAATAAATAAGCAAAAATAAAATAAATTCCAAAATGGCGAATACAAAATGGCGGACAAATTTTTAAAAACGCTCGAAATTAATTGAAATTCTATTCGAAGGGGTTTTCATGGCCGCTGATTACGAATTTAATGTTATTTTTATTAAATAAGCAAAAATAAAATAAATTCCAAAATGGCAGATCCAAAATGGCGGACAAATTTTTTTAAAAACGCTCGAAAATGATTGAAACTCTTTCCTAGGGAGTTTTCCTGGCCGCTGATTACGAATTTAAAGTTATTTTTAATAAATAAGCAAACATAAAATAAATTCCAAAATGGCGGACAAAAATTTAAAAAACGCTTGAGATTAATTAAAACTTTTCGGTATTCCCGAAAAGGACTGATTGTAGTTTAAATTGAAGATTTTGGAATTATGCAAACTGGTAGTCCTGAAAACGACTGATTGTAGTTTAAATTAACGATTTTGGAATTATGCTAACTTGTAGTCCTGAAAAAGACTGATTGTAGTTTAAATTAAAGCCAAAATAATGTGAACGAGCTAGGATAGTTTTTACAGTGGTGGGGATACGCGGCGTGGTAGGACCCAGCAACGCGCTGATTGATCCGCCCGAGTCACATGATTTCTAGAACATGTCCATATATGGTCATATAAGAAGCGACTAATTGTGGAATAAAACTGGATCAATAGGTTTACTTTGTGACTGGCAATATTATTAAAAAAATTTAATTACCATTATTTTATTATTAATATGTGAAATCATTAAATTACAATTGAAGCCAGATCGAAAAGCTCCGGTTCGATAAGACTGTTTCCTTCGGTTGCAAACTAGGAAAAGTAGAGAGCATAGTGAGGTTCTGCAGTGTCTGTCAGTAACGTATACCTAAAAGGATCTTTGTGCCCGATGTACTTCATATACATAACCGGAAAAATAAATTTGTATTTTTTTTTGTTTATCAATAATTTATTATTAATTAATTTCATTATATTCTATTATTATTAATACTATTCGACAATTATTAATTTTTAAAAATTTCAAGTTCCAAAGAAAGATGTACATGCATAAAATACTATGTACGGCTCTCTTTGTTTTCATTTTTACGTTCGGCAAGAAAAACGACCTAGAATAGAGATTCAATCATTTTTGGTCGTTTTTAAAATCTTTGTCCGCCATTTTGCAATTTATTTTATGTTTGCTTATTTATTAAAAATAACTTTAAATTTGTAATCAGCGGACAGGAAAACTCCCTAGGAAAGAGTTTCAATCATTTTCGAGCGTTTTTAAAAAAATTTGTCCGCCATTTTGGATCTGCCATTTTGGAATTTATTTTATTTTTGCTTATTTAATAAAAATAACATTAAATTCGTAATCAGCGGCCATGAAAACCCCTTAGAATAGAATTTCAATTAATTTCGAGCGTTTTTAAAAATTTGTCCGCCATTTTGGATTCGCCATTTTGGAATTTATTTTATTTTTGCTTATTTATTAAAAATAACTTTAAATTCGTAATTAGCGGCCAAGAAAACCCTCTAGAATAGAGTTTCAATTAATTTCGAGCGTTTTTAAAAAAATTTGTCCGCCATTTTGGATCCACCATTTTAAAATTTATTTTATTTTTGCTTATTTATTAAAAATAACTTTAAATTCGTAATCAGCGGCCAGGAAAACTCCCTAGGAAAGAGTTTCAATCATTTTCGTGCGTTTTTAAAAAAATTTGTCCTCCATTTTGGATCTGCCATTTTGGAATTTATTTTATTTTTGCTTATTTAATAAAAATAACATTAAATTCGTAATCAGCGGCCATGAAAACCCCTTAGAATAGAATTTCAATTAATTTCGAGCGTTTTTAAAAATTTGTCCGCCATTTTGTATTCGCCATTTTGGAATTTATTTTATTTTTGCTTATTTATTAAAAATAGCTTTAAATTCGTAATTAGCGGCCAAGAAAACCCTCTAGAATAGAGTTTCAATTAATTTCGAGCGTTTTTAAAAAAATTTGTCCGCCATTTTGGATCCACCATTTTAAAATTTATTTTATTTTTGCTTATTTATTAAAAATAACTTTAAATTCATAATAAGCGACTTAAAAAACCCTTGAGAAATAAGTTTTAAGCCATTTTGATCAATTTTAAAAATTTTTACCGCCATTTTGAATTCGCCATTTTGAATTTTGGAAAACTAACATTATATTTGCATTCAGCGACCCCAAAAACTGTTGTATGAGGTGTTTTAGATTGACTGGAATTCTTTAAGACGTTTAATTCACAAATTTATTTTTAAATTTTCAAACTTACTGCCATTTATGCGCCATAATGGAGCCGCCATTTAAAATTTTGAAAAACGCCACTCGGCATTCGAAAGTATAGAAATTTACGAATTTTTTAATCCCTAGAACATTGAAATCCGTCAAAACCATTTTTGGGCAGAAGCCTGTCCTTGTTGACGTGGAACGTCCCATATTTATTTTTTATTTTATAATTTTTATTTTTTATCCATTTTTCACTGACATTTAAGATATGTAGTGTCCATCTTGGAGCTACTTTCTTGTAAATAAAAATTTTCAACAATATAGAAAAATGTTGAAAAAATATATTTGTGTGTAAATTAACAACTTTTCCCAGTAGTTAAAAGATATGTAATATGTGTATCATATTGTTCTGCTATACAATCATGCAACATTTTAATCATAAAATTTATTTTTAGCCCAACAACTTGATCAGTAAAGAGACACAAGCAATGCATAAAGAATCAATGGAAATGTTGTCAGGAATAAAAACCACCTTAGAAAGTATTTTGGATGTGAACATATCCACATACGAATTGCTGAAATCGCAGACATCCGATGCTGCATAACTATCATTACCAGTCTTAGTCTTAGGTTTCAATCGTTCAACAATTCGTCGTTAATTCATTTAAATCATACCCCAGATAGCACGTAAGCTTGCAGCAACCTTGCGGCAAGCTTGCCGCGTAATATTGCCAACCTTGCACTGTAAGCTTGCCGCAAGCTTAAAATGTCCCACTTGACCCAAGCTTACACGGTAACCTTGCCAGAAGGTTACCGCAATATTGCAGTGTAAGATTACTACAAGATTGCACGGTAATATTATCGCAATATTGCTCGGTAAACTTGCACGGTAAGCTTGCCATAAGCTTCTAGTAAGATTGAAATGTAAGATTGCAGCAAGATTGCACAGTAAGATTACAGCAATATTACTCGGTAATCTTGCGCGATAAGCTTGCAGCAAGGTTGCAAAATAAGCTTGCTTTAAACCTAAAAATTTTTTTTTTAATAATGTATCGTCTAATATAAGCAATAAAATTTACAGAATAAATATTATATATGGACCGGATTAAATTATTTAAAGTGAGTTTTACAGTTGGATTGAATTTTTCTTGTTAATTAAACTATAGAAAAATAAAAAACAGTTGAAAAATTGAATAATTATTTTAAACAATATAAAATTCAAATTTTTAAGGTCGTTGCAGGAGGAAGGTTAAGTAACTGAAAAATAAATTCAAGAATTATCTTTTTATTTTAATTTTAATTATAAAATAAGTTAATGAACATAACATTTATTTATATCGTTGAAATAAATTTTCTTTTATAAAATATTTATATTTCTTTTCCTTTCTTAAAGGAAGTTTTCACTCGTAACAACGTATCTGAAAAATAAAAGATTGTAATTTTTAACAACTAACTGAGAGACTGATCCGTCTTCGATGACTTTTTTGAGCTTAATAATTGATTTATAATTTTGCTTTGCATTGCTTAAAACTATCTAGATTTTAATTTCAATTAATTTATTTACATATTAGTTATGAAGAAAAATATAAAAATAATTACGTTTATTATTTTTATTATCATTATTATTTATATTATTGAAATAGTTTCATTTTATTAAAAAAATTTTTAAATAATTTTTGTTTAAGTAGAAAAATTAAATTTGAATTTTTAAGTTCTAAGCAATATTTAGACAAAAATCTGATCTAAGGAATATATAAAATATATTATCACTTGCTCATAAAGGGAAAACTTATTCGAGAAGGAATTAGAAAAAACTTAGATGTATGTCATTTTTACTTACAATATACGAATGTTAGACTTTCAAGGCTGCCTTATTAGCACAGCCAACTAAGAATCAAAAACATTGAAGGTTTAATAGAAAGATAATTTAAAGTTTATTCTTGGGGAAAATTTACAACAGCTTCCTGTGCAGAAGTTCTTTCCTTTTCGGCTCTATTTCTGTAAAATATTTCAAAAATTACAACTTATCATGTAATTATTGGAGGTTTTTAAAATGAGACTGAACCTACAGGCTTTCTTAAACTTACTTCGCACGAACTTCTCGATGTTTGCATTGCGTCAACCAATTTGCGATATATTCATCAATATCACATGGTGCAACATTTTTATGAACATCCTTCATTGCATCTAAAACGAGGAATATATTAAGAAATTAAGATCTTTAAATGTTCCCAGAACAACAACACGATATTACTTACAAGAGATTAAGGACTTGAGCCTAAGCTTAATAAACGAAGATTTTGTTTTGGACTGTCCTTTTAAAGTGAATTCTTTTCCGACTTCAAAAGTTAAAAGATGATTAAGCATATTTACTACTGTCATACTATAGGAATATGAAGGTCCCACATTTACCAAAGCAGTAACCTACAAAAAATTTTATTTATCAAGTATTATAAGATAACAAATAAAAATCACATTTAATAAAATTTTTAAACTACTTTTAACCCGGCGAGCGTAAGGTTCAACTGTGTAATCATGGAAATATTTTACTATATTTGTTTTATATTGTTTAGCAGTGTATTAATGTTACAAGAAATGTTTTTTTTTTAACTTACAACTTTATGAAAAAAAGACTGTGAAGACAGTTTTTCTTCAATTTTCATAACCTCAGACAGATTTTTTGCTGGAAACATTTTTAAATCATCATCTGGATCCAAAAATGAAACAATGGGGTAGCGATTTTCTTGTCCACTTCTTCCATTGCTTTTCATGCCCATTTCGATTTTATTCATTTTTGCTAACATTAATTTTGTAGATTTTTTCACTGCAAAAATAATTAAAACGCTTTTCCTAAAAATATGAAAAATTTGTCAAAAAAAATGTGACCAAAATATCACAGAAATTGTTATCCGAAACAATTTAATAATAGTATATAAACAATTTGGATATAATTTTTTTAATTCTAATGATTTTTAAACCTAATATATTTTTAAGGAATTTTTTATTACACTGATATTCTAAAATACATCATAATAAAAAATTATTATAATTAGCATATTCCAAAATTGTAAGTGTCATAAATATTATTAGGAACACTTCACGTTCGTATATAATAAATGAATAAAGAAATAAATAAATAAAAAATTAATAAATAATTTTCATTTCTTATAATAAATGTTAAAATATGCATTAAGCGAAAAATTAATTGACATAATTGTAATTTAACAGAATTCCTAAACGACAATGTCTTGGAACATTATTATAAAATTAATTTGATTTAAATTTTATTTATACCTCATTTATTACATATAATTATTATTTTGTACAATTTATATGTATTAAAATGTAATTCACTTGTTATAATTTCTATTTTACAAAATTTGAATTCTGCATACTATTGTAGTAAAAAATAAGTATATACTCAGGGTGTCTACAACTATAACTCCCGAAAAAAATTCCCTGATATTTCCAGCCTTTACAGGTTTAAATTTTTTTTCCAAGATTAAAAAATACGCGTATAGTTTACACAAAATGCTCTCTAAATCAATGGAATTTATTCTAAAGATTTTAACCACATTAAAAATACTTACAAAAGAACATTGCAACAGAAAAATTTAAAATTGATAGCAAAATAATTGTTTTAAACTTGAAAAACCGTAAAATTTTGAAAATTCTATGTTTGATCGAAAAGTAGGTTCAATTTAATTTTAATTCCGTGAAGTTTAAAGATTTTTTCAAAAATACGTAATTTTTCCTAGAAAAATTTAAACTTTTTTCCACGTTCTTTAAATTTTGGTTATCATCAAGTATGCAAAAAATTCTCTGATATATAAAATTTCCCTGATATTTCCAGGTTTTCCAGGTGTTGTAAACACTCTTAATATTGTTCATATATTCAATGAAATAGAAAATAAGGAAAATGAGAATTATACAAAATAATAATGAGATTCAATTAATTATATGTTAAATAAAATTTAAAGCTTATTAAGTTTAAATATTAAAGAAATTTTGAGTATATATTTTGATCAATCCATTATACTTCAGTTACACGGTAAAATTTTTGGTTAACAGCTGTATCTACTGATTTAAAAATATTCATACTTCGGAATAGTAAAACTATTACCCTGATTAGAGAACACATACATTCCTTGAGGAAGAGTATTGTCCCTTGAATTGCATTTTGTTACACTCAATCAGAATAACAGTTGTTAACGACCAGTAAGATCACAGTTGTACTACGAAAAAAGCAAAAACTTAACCAAAAAATTTTTCGTCTGCTTAAAAAAATTGATACTTCCGGAAATAATTCTATAAGATATTAAGGTAAAGAAATAGAACTTTTTATTTTTTCAATTCATTAATATATAAACTTTTCATTTTAAAATCTAAACTTTTTTCATTTTTCCGATTTTCAATCGTTTATAATTGGTGCAAAACGAAAAAATTTGAAACTTGGGGGAATATTTATTCAAGTTACAATTAAATAAAAACTCACGTACATTTCTGCGATAACAAACCAACCAATGTATGGAGAAAATTTAATTTAAAAATTGCAAGCATTTTTCCAGGTTAATGCATGTAATTTTTTGAAACTTCAAGTTGATTTATTACATCAATATGGAAAAGTATAGGATTTTCTCGTTTTACACAAAAACAGTTATAAACTATTAAAAATCGAAAAAATAAACAAAGTGCCAATTTTTAATCAAGATTATTTATATTTAGGAATTGAAAAAATAAAAACTTTCAAGAAAATGTGAAAATTCTTAGCAAATATTTTATATTTGGTGAATTTTTTTATTACTTAATTTCACGTATTTATGTGATTAATTAATAAAAATCGCAAATGTAGGTCATTTGACAGAACAAATTTGGAATTATTTTCTCATTATTTTAATTTTTTCATTACTTTAATCATTAAAAAATACTTCATTTAATACCTTTAAGTCAGATTTCCATATTGATTAAAATGTTCACAACTAAAATAGTAGTAATAATTGAATATTACATTAATTAGAAAAAGTCGATTAAAATTTAAATAAATATAAGGTTGGTTCGATTATAATTTGAAATTGATTAAAGCTTGAATGAGTGAAAAATGTAGGTTATTTAGAAATTTGAAAAAACAACAACATTTAGTTGAGATGACTTTGAGGTTAATTGAAATTATAATAAATTAAAATTTTTATAAATTCACATTTTCATCAAAAAGAATTTCAAACGATGACAATTAGAATTTATTTTATTTTAAACTGCTTAAAATTTTAATCTATTAACAATTATATACATTACAGTTTGAATCGATCTGTTTCAAATTTGATTACAATTGGAATAAATTTAAATTTAGTTTGTTTGAAAATTTAAATATTAAGAAATTTATTAAATTTTTTCAAATGAAAGTCTCTAAATTTGAAAATGTATCTAAATAAATGAATAAATTAAATCTAATCTAAAAATGCAATTATTAAAAATTAATTTACTTAAATCCAAGTTCGTAAGAAAATGCATCGGTAAGAAAGAGGAAAAATTTTGACTTAGCACTCACCCAAAGCTATCACATTATCGGTAGAGTCATTTTCAGTAAGTATTCCGCCTCCTTCTAATTGTTCATCAATTAAAACTTCTTCAGTATCATGATACTGATCTGATTTTCTTTTTTGTCCTTGGTCTTTTCGGGATGGAAAATCCTGTGAGTTTGTTTTTTCAACATCAACACTGTTGCTATTATTTTCGTTTTCTTCTGAGTTCTGAAATTCTTCTGAAGGGGGGAAATCTCTCGAGGAACTAGGTATCGGTTGTTTAACTACTTTTTTTGAACATTCTTTTGTAGGTGATTGCCTTCCTTTTTCGTTAATACAACGAGTAAAGCGTGATTTTTTAGATCGTTCTAAGTTGATAGCTTCGTCGCTATCAACTTCGGAAAGTTCAATATACTTTAGTTTCCTTAGTGCAATCTCCAGAGATTCTAAAAAAAATTATTCAGTTAATATTTTTTAATATAAGAGTCAATCCGACTTTCGACTAAGAGCTGTGGCGACCATGTCTTTAAAAATTTTAGTTTTAAAAAGTGGATCATTTTTTGAGTTCTCATTAATATTGAATCATAATATTGTGGTATGATTTTCATTTTATTTTGTGTTTAATTATTAATTGAAAGTAGGACGTTCTCGAAGTGCTTTCGTTACTTTCAATTTTTCCGACTTTTAAAAACGCTATTATTTAAAAACTAATTAACTAATATTAGATATTACTACGTTCGAAAAAAATCATTAAAAATTTAAGGCTTTGCAAATATACTAAAACTGATATAATAAATTTGTTATAAACAGTTGACGAAAGGTATTTTTCTTGGTTTCAGAAATATTAAATTACAAATTTTTTTATTTTAAAAATGTTACATTTTGAAAATGAAGCAAACCGCTTTTGCTAATTTTGGCATAAAATAAATTAAGTATGTCAGCATTAAATATTCGCAGAAAACTTTAATTTTCAGGCGATTGAACAAAAACATGGTAGCTTAAAAAAATACGAATATTTTTTCTAATGGAAATGTTTTTAAAGTTAGATACTACCTTAAAATAATAAAATCTTATAACAAATTTATTTATTTCTACGTTAAGAATAAAATTATTTTTGGTTTTGGTAAAATATTCTATGTAATATTAATTGTGATAAATTTTATTTTAATAGCAATTTCTAAAAAATTACAAATTTAGCTTGCAAAAAAAAAGTTTGCATACTTCAAAAGAAGAATTTAAAAAAAAATGTTGATCGAAAACAGATTGCATTCGTTTAAACATTCAAAACTTTAGACCCATTGGACTGGTTCAAACCTTTCAAAAATAAAAGTCTAATGACTTAATTACATTAACCATTCTTTACATTAGTTAACATGTTTTAAATTTAATAAATAATTATCAAGTAGTACAAACAGATTTAACTTATCATTTATTTGAAACTGTAAAATGTAATTTACAATAAATAATCATTATTTGAAAGTTTCGAAAACGCACTGAACATAAATAAAGGTAATTGATTAATAAATAAATAAAGTATGTAACATTATAGATTTTTAGTTACACATTCCAAGTGCTATAATTAATTATTCCCAATAAAATAAGGTTTTTTAAATTAATTTTAAATTGTAGATTGTAATAATGCATCATCTTTAATTATTTAAAATATTTGTAATTTAATTTGAAAATATTAAAATGTTTTAAAAATAATGTGTACATATTTCATACTGTTATTACTTTAATAATATTAATAATAGTATAATGTTAGAAGTAAACAAATAATATAAGTCCAAGTAGAGTTAATAATTTGATTAAATATAATAATAACAAAAACTTACTCGAGTAAGTGCACAACTTTTTAATCTTCCATGGTTCGCCGTTTTCATCCACCCATTTTGTCGTGTCAACATTTTTAGACGTTTGTTTTAGCAAATCCATATATTCCAACTTCGATATGTTGGATGGAAAGTAACATGCTACCATTTCATTGTTTACGAAATCACCCCATTCCGATTTCACGACTTCGAATCCGTCGTGGAATTCCACAACGGCATACGGTTCTCTCTCATCCATTGTTAAAATGTCCCTGAGCATAAAGCCGATATTTTATTTTTAATGAATTTAAATTATTAATAAATATATTTAATTATTATTAACTTTTATTATTTATAAAAAAGGAAATGAAATATTTCATATTCATATTTTTGAAATATTCTTGAAGTATGATTTTCTACAATTTTTCCAATTTAGAATTTCGGAACGATTTTAATGTTTAAATAATAAAGAGATATTAAGCCACTTTTTATAAATTCTTGAGTGCAATAAGGTTAAGAAATGTTTTACTTTTTGTCTATAATTTAAAATTAAAAATTCAAGGTTTGAGCTAAAAAAACATTAAAAGAAAACGTTTAATTCAAAAATAAATTTTATTATTTAATTTATTAATTTTTTCCTTTTTTTTAAATCCTAACAGCAACTTTATAAGTGATTTTTTAATTGAAAAGTTTTTAAAATAATTAAATCATTTTGGAATAACCAATTGATAAAATTATTATTAAAAATAATACTAATTCAATAAAGAATGATGAAAATTGTTTTAAATAATTGAATTTTGGGTGAGATGCTCTGAAAATACTTAAAAATATAGTTGGATTTCAGAAAGTTTGGAAATTTCTGTACATTTAAATTCTTAAAAATTAATCACAAATGTCAAATATTAACTGCATTTTATAAATATTCTAATTGGAAAATATTTTAAATAATTAAATTTTTGAAAAACTTGATTGCACAGATTAATTGATTGATTCATTCATTAAGAGAGCAATTTAAAATGAATATTTATAATTAAGGAAAAATCGAACAGACAGTGGGAAAAAAAGTTAGTCCGACTGTGCGACTGTCCTTAAAAAATCAAGTTTTATTAAAAAATGCGATGTAAATATTTTGTAAGATTTAATACAATTAAGAGGCTTGAAATTATTAAGTATAAAACTCAAATTACAAAAACGGGATGAAAAAATTGATTGACCACGTGTGGCATAAATGGGAAAAAATCTTTTACAACAAAAAAAACTTTACTCTTTGTATAATGTATAAAAGAAATATATCTAATTTTGCACAAATTCTTACCTGCTTACTTTATCTAGATGCACTTTTTTATTTAAATAAGTTTACACTTTCACATATAACACTCGCAATTAAATTTCACCCATGAATGAAGCGAGGTAAAAATGATACTAAAGGAGGAACGAAGCATGAAACAAAGCAACATGTGTTCTCGAATATTCTGGAAATTTCGGGAATGTTTTAAAATGTATGCGCGCGCACTGATTTTTACGAAACGTAATTAAATATTATTTTACAATTAGTAAGTTGTTACTTTCACAATAATTATTATTGAAAAACTAAAATAAATTTTTATTTCTTTAAAAATATTTTTCTTATAAATAAGATGTTTAAAAAACGAAACCGTGTATATAATTATATACTAACGCGGGTATTTAAACCTAGATACGCGCGTATTTAAACCTAGATACGCGCAAGCGCATTATGTAAACACGACACATCAGATTTCCGTTGTTCTCATCGTTACTTCTTGAGTTGTACATGTGATCAGTATAAATTTTTCGTGAAAAGTGTGAAATAAAGAAAGTTGATAATTTTCAAACATAATAAAGAACATAATTACTTTTTTGGAAACAGGTAAGATGTGAACAAAATATATAATACACTATTCCCGTGTCTACTTGTATCATGTATTATAACATAACCTCAATTTGTTTGTCGCATTATAATAGAAAATCAAGTTTGCTAAAATTAATTTTAATTATATTTTGCTGATGAACGATAAACCTTATATATTTCTGAAAAAATTTTGGATTTCCCAAAATTAATTTTTCTAACTAATTTCTATATGAGGTTATATATTTTGACTTGAAAATGACAATTACACATGTGTGTGTTTGTGTGATGGATATATACGTAGGTTTGTATGTATGGCATCGCTTTTTGTGTACAATATTTCTCGAACACGTTTTGATGAATCGTCTTGGAATTTTCCAGGCTTAATTGTATTCGTCAATATTTAAAATCAGACTGAAATTTTAGAAGTTTTAAAATAAATTTAACCTAAAGATGTTAGCATTTGAAATTTTCTTGTTGAGTTTGATTGCACAGTGTGCAATCAAATATATGATTTTCCGACAAAAATGAAATTTTTGTTACGTAAAACTTACAGGAAATTTTAAAAACATATTTGAATTTTAAAAATATTTTATAGTAATATTGTTTATATATATTTAAACGTTTTAAGAATTGCTATGAATTTCACTTCACAAAAAAAATTTGTTTTTGTACGTGAAAATAAAATTTTTAATAAATAAATTCTCGGGAAAAGCTCAAACGAAAAAATTTCATTTTTGTTGGAAAATCGTATATTCATATTGTACAATTATACTCAAGAAGAATATTTCAGTTTATTTTCTACATCTTCAGGTTAAATTTATTAAAAACTTTTAAAATTTTAGTTTTTTTCGATTATCATAGAAATTATTGATGGTACAAGGAAATACATTATATTGTATGTTTATTTATAAAATAGCCACCTAGCATAGAATTACTATAGGATTTCTTTGCGAAGTGGCTACTTCATAAATGAACATACTGTATAAAGAAATCTTCCGTTTTTTAATATCTACCAATTTTGTACAAAGAACTGTTTTCTGAAATTAAAAATTTTGAACCAAAATGTAATTTTTATTATCTCAAAAATTGAAATCGGGTGTACACTTTGCAATAAAAATCAAAAAGAAAATACGAGTTTAGAAAACCTTTCAATAAAATTGGTTTCAGGCGCACCGTGATATTTCTTATATTAAAACGAATAGATTATTACATTAAGAAACGATAATTTTACATAATTAATAGAAATTTTGAACTATAAAAATTTTTAAATTTTAGAATTGTAAAACTTTTTCTTTGAAATTGCTTTCAATATACACCTTGTAATAAAAAATAGGAATCAAAGGAAAAATTTTTTATAAAATTAAAAATTTATAAAATGAATTAATTCTAGAAAGTTTGAATATTGTCATCAAAAACTATTTTTCTATGAGGAAGCATAATGTTCGTGATATGAGCATAAACTTCTTTTATAAAGAAGGACCCCACTTCTTGTTATTTTAGTGTTAGAATATATTTTACACTTTGAGGTTATATAAAGGTAATCTAATCTCCATTTAAATTAAAATTTATTTTTTTAAATTGAAACAGACATATAACGAATAATATGCAACCTTGGAAAACGTCACGTAAATTTAATTATTCCAAACGACATGCCAATCGCATTCTAAAAAAGCAATTAGAAGATGATTTGAAAGAGTTGACGAATCCAGAGAAAATCCAGGATTTTTTATCTGATACAATTCCTTCAACAAGTGATGGACAATGCAGTGCACCCACCCCGAATTTTGTGTACGATGAATCGTCATATTTTAACTGTAGTCAGAATGAGGAAGAAAAATTTTTCGACGCAGAATCGTGGCATGATGAAGATGTCAACATGAGCTTTGACAGGTAACATTATATTTTTATACCATGGTATTTTCCATATTAATGTGATGGTAAAAATAACTAAATAATCACTATTGTTAACAAACTTGTAATATTTTACCTTATCACTCACTATCAAAATTTTGGATACTAGTAGCACATGACTAACAGTATCTTCATATATACCAGTATTGTCCTCCTCCACAGCACTGCAAATTCCCTAAAAATTTATTAAATATTCACTTGCAATGTTTGAAATATTTGAGTGCAAAATGTAGTGAAAATTTTGTAAAGATTTAAATGTCCTGATTGAATAAATGTTTAGCGTGAAACTTTCCTTAACATTTAAATTAAATTTCTGCCTATAATCTGATTTAAGCGAAAATTTAATTTAAACGTTCAAGAAAGTTTCATGCTGAACATTTATTTATTTAGGACATTTAAATCTTTTCACTATTTTCACTAAACTTTGCAATTAAATATTCTGAACATTGTAAGTAAGTATTTCATAAATTTTCAGGAAATTTTCGGTATTGCTTATATTAAATATTATAGATTTTGCATTTTACTTTTTAAATTTTCTTTTTCTAATTATCAGAATATTGCAAGTTGTTAAAAAATTTTTGAAATAATTTTGTTTTATGAAAATGTTATATAATATATAAAAAAATCACTTTCGAAAAACTTGTCTCCATGAATGAAAATATGCTTCACAATAAACGAGGAACAAATTTTCAAAAGTTGATAAATCCATTTTTTCAAAAATTTGAGATAATCGCATTTTCAGCATATTAAGAACCTCAGAAAACGGCCTGTCACTGTTAAACTTAAGAAAAAAATTATTTTAAAAAAGAAATTTCAATTTAAAAATATCTGGGCTTAACCTGTAAGATTTTTAATTTTAATTTTTGTATTACAAAAAATTATCAAATCCTTTAAATCTCATAAATATAATAGACTTGAATTAAAAACAAATCATATTAAATCAAAAAACATTTTTTTATAAATAATTCATTACAATTTTTCTACGTTAAAATTAACTTTAGTGGTTATGCGAGAAAAGTCATTTCTTGAAATCGCAAAATATGGATTTATCAACTTTTGAAAACTTGCTCCTCAAACCATTTTAAAAATTTTTAATTATTATTTAATTATTAATTTGAAAAATTATTTCCCATTATGGGATGTGACTAGGATTAAAAAATATGTAAAAAGGAAAAGTTTCCTATTAAATTTTTATAAGAAAAATAAAAATTACAAAAAATTTTAATAATAAAATTTTTTAATATATGAGTTACAGAAAATGTAAATATTTTTCTGATAATTTTTGCATCAAATTTTCGAAAAGTTGATTTAAAAACGAAGAATTAAAAAAAAGGGTAAATGTTGATATTATATTGCGCGTATCAACGTAACCTCTGAAGTGAAAAAAAATTTATCAGTCGAACACAGAAAATCCAAAATAAAGCAGATATAAATAAGTAATCATTGTTTACTTTTTTTGTATTTTTTTTTTGTTTTTTTTATTTTTTTGATTTTTCAACTTACCAATAAAAGAAATTGAAAGTATATTTATTAAATCATCCACGATTTTTAGTGTTAGATAACCCAATTAACAACGATAATGTCCTTAAGATTTACAAAGTCCCGTGATAATACTTTTTTGGAATTATTTATTTAACGATTAGAATTACTTTCAATAACACTGTTAATTTTTTTATAAATACAAATAATGTCAAATTTTTATTTAAAAAAAAACAACGATATCTATCAATTTGCATTTTTTAGGCCACCTAAAAGTTCGACTTCTCGGAAATTCGGCGATAACACCCACATTTACCCAATTGAAATTTAAAATTTTTCAAAATTCGGCGATAACACCCACATTTACCCAATTGAAATTTAAAAATTTTTCAAATAGTTATGAACATTCCCAAAAAAAATTTTCTTAATAATCTCATAATTGTTTAAACTTTTACTCTGCGATTCATATCTAATCTTAGGCAATTATTGTTAAGTGTCATTGAAGTTATATATCACTTAGATTCATATAATCGTATAAAATGACCTCCTACATGTTCTTTTCTACCATTAGGACTTATGCACGAAGAGATTCAAAAAATTTTAATTAATAAATAATAAAATTATTATTTATTAATTTTAATATTAATTAATATTAGTAAATTATTATTAATTATTTAATAAAAAATCTCGGGATTTGAAATGTACTGTTGTTTAAAAAATGAGCCAAAAGTTTTGAACGTTCAAATGAACAAAATATTTTTTCAATCTATAAATTATTAAAAATTATAATGTCAATGTAAAATAAAACAGTAAATTAAACTAATATTAAATTAATAACTTCTTTTTAGATATTTAAAACAATATTTTTTAATAAAATTCATATTTAAAGAAGTTACAAAAAAAATTTTGTTCATTTGAACGTTCAAAACTTTTGGCTCATTTTAAAAATAAAACTTTCTTTAAATAAGGGGAAAATTAAAAATATTTGTAGTTAAAACAATAATAAGGGAAGGAACCAGTGTAATTTCGACCCATTAAAATTTTTTGTTTTATGGGTGATTTTCAAAAAACTTTCAGTTTGAATAACTTAAAAAAAAAATTCCGGTTTGTTCTTTAAAAATTTTTACTTTTCTTAACAAAAGAAATAAAATTAGTTTAAACTTATGCATTTACACCCATAATTAAAAAAATTTTTTTTAATAATAGAGAAAATTACAACTCTGAGGAAACAGATGCTAAAACGCAAGACGATCATGAGACTCTTGATTTTGACGTGAGCAGCGAAGGTTCGATATTTGACGACGATTATGATGATTATTGCTCTGACGGTTTGGATTCCGATGATTTATTCGAATTTGATTTTGACTCTGATGAACTTTCCGAGAAAAGTGTAGATACAGAAGGGGAAATGCAACATGATGAAAAAAACTTACAACAAGAAACTGCACTGAGGAACGCATTGCATCAATGGGCTTTAAAATTTCACGTAACTCTAGTTGCATTAACAGCTTTGCTTCTTCTTTTAAAACCGTTTTTGCTATTCTCCTTGCCATCTGATGCTAGGACATTAAGGGGAACTGTTAGGAATGTTAAAATTGTTAAATTAGCTGGAGGCGAATACCATTACTTTGGTTTGGAGAGAGCAGCAGTGGCTATTCTTCGAGATTATTCGAGAGAAAGGAAAGAAGTAAAAGAATTAAAATTAACATTCAATATCGATGGTTTGCCGATATCTCATTCTGGTACTGAAGGTTTTTGGTTGATTTCGTGCTCTGAACAGAATTCAAAAAAAGTTTATTTAGTCGCAGCTTTTTATGGTCCGAAGAAACCATCCGACGCCAATGAGTTCATAGAAGAATTTGTTCGGGAATTAACTGCTTTATGTAACAATGGCTTAAGGGAGAAACAGGTTTTAATTTCTTGTTCTGCGTTAATATGTGATGCTCCCGCAAAATCATTTATTTTATATTTAAAGGGACACACTGGTTACAATAGCTGTTCAAAATGTTTGATAAAGGGCGAATACATTAGCCGTAAAAGTAAACGTAACGGAAAAGAGCGAAACGGAACGGTTTGTTTTCCTGGAATTGGGCCGTTTCGTATGAAAACTGACGAAGGATTTTCGCAAAATGTATATGAAGAGTATGACACCGGAAAAGAAACACTATTGAAAATTATTCCAAATTTTGGCTGCATATCGTGCGTTCCCCTCGATTATATGCATCTCATCTTGTTGGGCGTTGTCAAAAAACTCATTCGTCTCTGGATAATGGGCCCGCTGTCAGTCAGATTGGGAGCAACAGATGTCACAAAAATGTCTAAAATATTGCTCATTTTAAAGAAAAGTACGCCAATGGAATTTAACAGAAAGCCACGTTCACTTGCCGAATTCACTCACTGGAAGGCCACCGAATTCAGGACTTTCCTTTTATACACTAGACCAGTTGCTTTAAAGAATATTTTGAAACCGGAAATGTATGATAATTTTGTATTGCTGCACACTGCAGTATCAATGTTGGTGAGTGAATGTTATGTTCAGACATCGGAAAATATAGATAAATGTCAAAAAATGTTTGAAGATTTCGTTCTTGGGTTTCAACGGATTTATGGTAAACAGTATGTTTCCCACAATGTACACAATTTATTGCAAATCTGTTCGGACGTAAAAAAGAATGGCGCCCTTGATAAATTCAGCGCCTTTAAATTCGAAAATGAGATGTCATCAATAAAGAAAATGGTCAGAAAGGGTCACAAACCTTTAGAGCAGATTGCTCGAAGGTATTCTGAACGAGAAAAATTTGAGCAACCGCTAATGGAAAAATCGTACTCTTTAATTGCTGAACATAACAGTGGTCCTTTATCAAGAGATTGTCTAAATATTAAAAAACAATATAAAAGATTAAAGTACAAGGACTTGACAATTGATTGCACGACACCTAAGGATAATTCTATTTTACTAAAAGATGGTACTTTCTGCGCAGTGAAAAACATTGTGGTATCTCACATCAATGACATCCTGTTCATTGTAAAGCCATTTTTAAAGACAAACTACAGCCTCTATTCAAATCCTGATTCAAGAAACATTGATATTTATATTGCTGCAAATTCAAGGAAGTCAGAATTCGCCACACCTATTAGCAATCTACGATCAAAAGTATGGCGAATCCCAAGCCAAGAAGGAATAAATTTTCTTCCTCTGAGACACACTCCTTTATCAAATTAAATAAAAGACACGCGTAAGTATAAAACATTTTCTTTCTTTAAACGCAGATTAATTTTTAAAGAAAATCTAATTTGTACTTTTTTATTTAATACTAGTTAATTTTAAAATAATCAAAAATACACTTTCATACAAATGTACTAAAAAAATTTTAAGTAATAAACGTATTTAACACATTTTAATTTTAAAGCCCTTCAAGAAAATTTAATTATCTAATTAAGACAGATGTTTTGAAATGCATTTTTATAACAGTTTACGTCAAACGCAGTTTCTTAAGCACTAGTGGGTAAAAAGTATTTTTATGCAGTCGCTCGCACTTCAATCTAGTTCTTGACACAAAATGTTATAAAAAATTATATGTGGCGCATGGGCGCAAACAGGAATATCTCGACTCGTGGAATCACACGACTCTCGAATTCCCTTCTTTTTGCGCCATTGCCATAAAAATAACTATTTGCTTACAGAAATTCCAGTTTCTGGACAAAAGAAACAATAATTTTATACTTGGACTAATAGAATTGACGACATATACATATTGAAAGGAAATACGTGAAAATAATTTCTTCAAACAACTTAAATTTATTTCTATAAAGGACCAAATTTATTTATTTACTTCCGAGAATTATGACTTCAAACTATACTTCCCAAAAAGGATGTCGAAAAACGATATAACAAATGTGTTGGCAGACAAATCTCAGAGTTATATAAAAAGGCAAGCTATTTGGTAATTCTTTTGCTTTGTATTTTTAAAATACTTGAAAAAATGCTATTAATTATTATTGCAATATAACCTTCCTTATAAGATTAATTAAAAAAAATAAAAACCTTAGCAACCAAACTTGTATTTAGTATACTTGTAAACATGTAAATTAGAATTCAAAAAATTTTAAATATTAAGTGCTGAAAAATTACAGTTTAAATTAATTATAACAGAAATAATTTGTATTATTGATAACTATTTATGATAATGGAATAAACATAATTATATTTATGTATTCCGTTGCACAATCAATGTACGGGCATTACCCTATCGAAAATTCCGACATCGGAACATAGATTGTAGCCTACATCTGAAACGTTATCTAAATTCATATAGGAAACTATATCGGGAACCATATGGGATGCTATATCGGAAACTATACAGGAATCGATGTTGGAAATTGGGACAGGCAAAGATGTATTTTCCCATATAGTTTCCGATATGGTTTCTACCCAGTTGAAAATTCCGACCTCGTTTACGACGTCGTATTCTAAGTAGTTTGCGACGTAGTAAACGACGTAGAAAACGACATAGTAGCAAACTACGTCGTTTACTACGTCGTTTACGATGTTGCAAAAATTATTTTAATATTATTTATTTAGTAATTTAGTAAGTCCAATATCCAATATTAAAAATTTTAATAATAATTTAAAAAATCAATAATTTAAAAAAAATTTATTTTTATTATTTTTTAATAGTTATTATTATTATTTTATTTTTAATATTTAAATTAAAATAAAAAAATGGTCATCAAAATATTAGTGAAACCATTTCTTCCAAAAAAGAATTTGTCTCAAGTCCAATAAAGGAGAGACATCGGGCAGAAAAAAATTTCGACAAAAAAAAAATTTTCGATCACTGCTTATATACTAATCTAATGGCACCTCAACTGCGAGAAACAGTTATGATGTTCGCCCTCCCTGTGGCGTTGAGCGAACTTAAGTCCAGAGCTGAGCCATCAGCGCAGCGCGGAAACATTTGAAAAATTTGATTTTATTAGATATTTTATTTTAAATATGACAAATAATTAACTTAATAAATAATTAATGTCATAAATAATTATTAATAACATAATGTCATACTTAATAATTCGTTAATTAATTATTTTTAACGAAAATTTGACAAAAAAAAATTTGTTGGCCAAAAAAAATATTACCATTAAAAAATAATTTTTTTGTTAAATTTTCGTAGTAAAAAAAATTTTTTCAAGACAATTATTTGTGACCTAAAAAAATATCACGATGAGAATATAATTAACAAAAAAAATTACTCGTAGCACAGAAAAAATTTCACCATGAGAAAATAATTTTTTTAAAATTTTATTTGTAAAAAATTTATTGGTAGCTCAAAAAAAAAATATCACGATGAGAAAATAATTTTTTGTCAAATTTTCTCTGTAAATAAATTAATTAACTAAATAACGTACCGTAAAACGGGGTTATTTCGCTCATTGCGGGTAAATTCGCTCACCCACTTTTATGCTTTATTTCAGCTTTAAAATAAACTTTAATACATTTATTACCAGGTTAAATTTTCGTAGTAAAAAAATTAATTAACTAATTATTAAGCTAACTAGCAAAATTAAACGCGCGCAAGCGCGCCAAATTGAGGATTTAATTATTTGTTATAAAGAAATTAAAGATTAATATTATTAATAATAATTTAATTTATTAGAATATTATAACATATTAAATGATAATAATGAAAATTATATGTTTACAGGCCTCGGATTATACGACTTTTTCCGACTTTTTTCAAAAATACGACTTTTATCGACTTATTTTAATAAAATGCGACATTTTTTTTACATTTGAAAAAAATGTAAATAAAATACGCACAAATAATATCAAGATGAGAAATTTAATTATCTTTAAATTTTCTCTGTAGAAAAAATATTTTGTGGCCTAAAAAAATTATCACCATGAGAAAATAATTTTTTGTCAAATTTTCTCTGTAAATAAATTAACCCTTTGCGTCACAGTGGGTCGCTCAGCGACCCACCTTTGGTTTTTCACTATATTACAATTATATTTCATATGAATTCGCTTGAAAATCGTTACTCGGGGGTTTTCGGGGTCGCTGATTACGAATCTGACTTTAGTTTTTAAAAATTCAAAATGGCCGATCCAATATGGCGGACATAAAAGTTAAAAATTAACTGAATTCTCTTGAAAATTGATACTCGGGGGTTTTCGGGGTCGCTGATTACGAATCTGATGTCAGTTTTTAAAAATTCAAAATGGCGGATCCAATATGGCGGACATAAAGTTGAAAATTGACTGAATTCGCTTGAAAATCGTTACTCGGGGGTTTTCAGGGTCGCTAAATACGAATCCGATGTCAGTTTTTTAAATTTCAAAATGGCAGATCCAATATGGCGGACGAAAAAATAAAAAGTCAACGCATTCGCTTAAAACTCGTTACTCGGGGGTTTTCGGGGTCGCTGATTACGAATCTGATGTCAGTTTTTAAAAAATCAAAATGGCGGATCCAATATGGCGGACATGTAGTTAAAAATTTACTGAATTCGCTTGAAAATCGGTACCAGGGGTTTTTCAGGGTCGCTGAATACGAATCTGATGTCAGTTTTAAAAAATACAAAATGGCGGATTCAATATGGTGGACATGAAGTTGAAAATTGACTGAATTCGCTTGAAAATCGTTACTTGGGGGTTTTCAGGGTCGCTGAATAAAAAAATAAAAATAGAATTTTAGAATTTTAAATGTTTAAATAGAAATAATAGATGCTTATCTTTAAATCATGTACCTGACAACCCTTGGATTAGTAACCTGTAAAAATAAACGTTTTTTACACTCAGCAGTATTGTTATTTACAAAATTGTTAGCATTTATGTTTTTGTAACTGAATCCAATGTATACCTTTTTTTACTATCATAAAGATTGTTGACGATCGTCATTTGTTTCACTGACTTTTTTTTGCGACGATCGTAATTTGTTTTATTTATAAAAATAAAAAAAAAATAAATAAATAAAAAAAACAAGGTGGAACCAAAATCTTGCCAAGTCCACGTCGTTGGTTCTGGGTAACGCTGAGAGCAGGATAGATAAAAAAAATGAAATTATTATTTTCGAAAACTGACATGAGATTCGTATTCAGCGTCCCCGAAAACCCCCGAGTAACAATTTTCAAGCGAATCTAATCAATTTTCAACTCCAAGTCCGCCATATTGGAACCGCCATTTTAAATTTTGAAAAACTGACATCAGATTCGTATTCAGCAACCCTGAAAACACCCGAGTGTCAATTTTCAAGCGAATTCAGTTAATTTTAAACTCCAAGTCCTCCATATTGGATCCGCCATTTTGAATTTTTGAAAACTGACATCAGATTCGTATTCAGCGACCCCAAAAACCCCCGAGTAACGATTTTCAAAAAAATTCAGTCAATTTTTAGTTTTCATGTCCGCCATATTGGATCCGCCATTTTGAATTTTTGAAAACTGACATCAGATTCGTATTCAGCGACCCCGAAAACCCCCGAGTAACAATTTTCAAGCGAATTCAGTTAATTTTAAACTCCAAGTCCGCCATATTGGATCCGCCATTTTGAATTTTTAAAAACTGACTTCAGATTCGTAATCAACGACCCCGAAAACCCCCGAGTATCGATTTTCAAGGGAATTCAGTTAATTTTTAATTTTTATGTCCGCCATATTGGATCCGCCATTTTGAATTTTTGAAAACTGACATCAGATTCGTATTTAGCGACCCCGAAAACCCCGGAGTAACATTTTTCAAGCGAATTCAGTTAATTTTTAACTCCAAGTCCGCCATATTGTATCCGCCATTTTAAATTTTTAAAAACTAATGTCAGATTCGTAATCAGCGACCCCGAAAACCCCCAAGTAACAATTTTCAAGCCAATTTAGTAAAAAGAAAAATGTGTGACTTAAAGGGTTAATTAACTAAATAACGTACCGTAAAACGGGGTTATTTCGCTCATTGCGGGTAAAAATGTTAAATTTGTTAATAGAAATACTAAATTTTAGTTTTTAATCAAATTTAAAGCAAAAAAATGGGTGAGCGACTTTACCCGCACTGAGCGAAATAACCCTGTTTTACGGTAATTATTAGTTACTTAATTTTTTACAACGAAAATGTAACAAAAAAATATTTGTAGCACAAAAATAATATCAAGATGAGAAATTTAATTATCTTTAAATTTTCTCTGTAAAAAAAATATTTTGTGGCCTAAAAAAATTATCACGATAAGAAAATAACTTTTTTGTCAAATTTTCTCTCCAAAACAATTAATTCACTAAATACCGTAATAAATCGTTGATTTTTTTTACTACGAAAATTTACCAAAAATTTATTCGTAGCACAAAAGAATATCACAATGATAAAATAATAATTTTTTTTCAAATTTTCTTTGAAAAAAAAAATTTGTGTTTTTAAAAAAAATCACGATGAAAAATAATTTTGTTGTAAAAATTTCTCTGTAAAAAAATTTAACAAAAAAATTATACGTAGCACAAAAAAATATTACGATGAGAAATTTACTTATTTTTAAATTTTCTCAGTAAAAAAATTATTTGTGGCACAAATAAAATATCACGATGAGAAAATAATTTTTTCTGTATCCCCTACCCGAAAGTACGGACTTCCCTGTCGGTAATCGTTCAGGGAAGAACGGCTTTTGTGGCCGGCCAGAAACAACGTGCGCTCTGATTGGCTACGAGACTTTAAAGGCTTGATGGCATAGCAACCACATAGCAACGCTTATTTCATGGCCTGTTTTGTGTCAAGTGCGGTAAATAACCACAAAAATAAGCAACCTAAGTTAAAAAAAAGTGACAAATCATGTATAAATAAGATGTACTTGTGTAAGTGTTATTGTACTTTCTCCTTCTTTTTAAATGTCTAAACTGAAAATCTTTCACTTTCATCCACTATTATAAAGTAAACAAAAATTTTCAAAGGTTAACTATATATACACAAAGACACAACACAGGTGATTAGATGCCTTATGGTTAATAA